CCCCCTCTCTTCCTTCCCCTCACTTGGCATATGACCCACCCTTCTCCCCTCACTTGTTACATTGCCAGGGTGCGAACGGTGAAAGAAATCAGACCTCACTTGGTGGAGAAAGAGTGCAAGGGAATGGTAGCCGGTTCCTTGTGCCACTAGAAGGTGAAGGAAAGGACGTTTGAAAAAGTGGGAAAAGGCGAAATCCGAGAGAAAGTATAAGTTGAAGCAAGGTCAGTTTTACTCAACTATTTCCCCGACTTCATGACTACGAGAAGAGAATGGGTTAATTGAGCACTAAGACAGACCGAAGACAAAGGAAAGTTAGGCATGTGGGAAGGGCTATGTGTTGACCCCCAATGGGGAATTGTATGAATTTTTGCTCTATGTGGGACTATGCAGGTAAGTGAAGGTTAGGGATGCCTCGAGCGGGATAGGGCCGGGAGGAACCGGGCGACAAAAGAAAAAGGGAAGAGGGCAAAGGGGCTACGAGACCCTTAGCATAAAGCCAATCCATGAAAATGACCTTTGCGTTTGAGACTTGAAGTGTAAATGAGAGAATGAAGTGTAATCTTGGCAAGGGAAATGTGAAGTTGTGTGTGCATGCATGTAAAGGTCGCGCAAAGACTAAGGGGCCTGCATCAAGGATGTTGGATGAGATGCATGAGACTCGAAAGGTGCGTAGAGGCGAGGGGGAGGACGGCATCGCCGCACCCCGATGACGACGTAGAATTGCAATGCTTAGGGAAATGGTGCGCGGCCTAAGGATGACGCTTAGCCTGCGCACAAGAGAAGAAAACTCTCAAAGAACCCCTGGACTTCCTGCGTATTGGAAGGAGCAATTGCTTGAGAACGGCCTAAGGACTGTCTCTTATACACATCTAGATGTGTATAAGAGACAGCGCTTAGCCTGCGCACAAGAGAAGAAAACTTTCAAAGAACCCCTGGACTTCCTGCGTATTGGAAGGAGCAATTGCTTGAGAACGGCCTAAGGATGACGCTTAGCCTGCGCACAAGAGAAGAAAACTTTCAAAGAACCCCTGGACTTCCTGCATATCGGAAGGAGCAATTGCTTGAGAACACAACCAAGAATCAAAAAAAAAATCAGCATTGCCGAATGACCAGTGAGACTACCACCCATCGTGAGGGTTGAGCTACATCCCCAATGTCAAAGCTCTCTCGCGCGATGGCCCACCCCCATCCATCTCAAAGCATTAGGTGGGGGTGACCCTAGGACGAATGGTTCGCGCCCTAAGCATGAGCGTGGGCGGGCCGAGCCAACTGGGACCCGTAGTGGGGTCGACTAAGGCTCGAAAGTCTACCAGGGTTCGGCCCTACAAAAATGGTGGAGGTGTCGGATATGGGGTTAAACTGACCCATGCGATTCCGAAGGGGGTGCCCGACGCATTGACGTGTACACAACTAAAGACAACAAAATTGGACTTGTGCTTGCTCTTTCCCTTGTGAGAATTAGACTTGAGGGTGGTTGGGCGCATGACATGGCCAAGCCTGGAGGTATAATATGCATGTTATGCACTTGATTAAGCCATCTCCTTGTGGGATGGCTCTAGCCCTCCTTCGTCCGGTGCTGGTGTTCGCCAGTCCGGGGGGAGCTTTGGGCAAGTCGCAAGTCGATCCTTCCTCTTCGTGCGAAAGAAGGGCTCCGGTTACCTGGCAGGCGGTTGGTCCTTCGGCTTTGGCCGGGGTCCGACGAAAATCCCGCGGCCGAGTGATCCGACCGAATGGGTGCCCTTCTCTTTTCTTCCTTAAGGCCAACGGGCTCATGCACTATACACATTGAAATGCTTGAAGGAACCAACATGAACACAACGGGTAATCAAGAAGGAACAATCCCTCCCTATGAAAGGACAGGCGAATGAAGAGAAAGGGAACGAAGGGAGTTGCTAGACCCCTAGGAAAACTAGCTCACCCTTGAATTGCTCACGAGAAGGAACCAACCATTGTGTATGGAAGTAGGGGGAGTGACACTCATTGTCCTGAGAGAAAATTGTGAGCTATGGGTAGAAAGCGCAGAGTGCACCAAGGGAAAGACACTTGTACAATATGTGTCTCACTTGGGACTTATGTTTGCATGATGGGATTTGAGTGTCATGCCTTTTGGAAGGAAAGAATGGGTCTGCACCGGCTGGTGCGGGTTGTGAAACGTCGCTCTCTTTGAAGTTCGCCGGGTTTCGTATGTGGAGGTCAGGCCACCGAGCTGTCGGACGGGAGTTTGTCACGCCGGTTGATTAGTAGCATTCTCACCCGGGCGGTTCGAGCATGGCTCGATGACCTTGCCCAGGCGGGGTGCGAAACGTCTCCTCAGGCGGGGTTTAGCCTGTTGGCTGGTGGGGGGAGTACCACTGCATGCGGGGCAAGGAGGGAACCTCGGAGACGATTAGTAGCTTCCCGTAGCACGACTTGGGAAAGGCTGATTCTTGTCGGACCGATGGAAGCGAATGCCCGGACGACTGACTACTGCTCCTAACGGGGTGCACAGGGGTGATTCCCGGTACCAACGAGGGTATGCAAGAGCGACAAAACGGGATGGGGTATTTTGGGCAAATGGAGAGGGGTAACACCCTGTGTCGGAGCCTGGGTACCGCGCTCGCGACGGTTGAGCTGCGCTTGAGGTATGGGATAAAACTCTACCGATAGTACCAGCGGAGAGACCATATTGGGATAGGCCGGTGAGGAGATGACCGGCCAGTGTGTGAGATTGCCTTATTTTTTTTATGTATTCCCCCTCTGTAAAGATTCATTGAGCTTGGATTGTTGGACGGGGCATAATTCTAAGTCTATTTTCTCCTCCCCATCTAAGTCTACACGAGAGAGAGATGATCGGAAGGAAGGAGGATAGAGGTCAGTTGGAATGAAACCAAGAAAAAGAATGATGGATAGTGCATGGCTGACCGAGGGTACTATGGGACGGTGGTACTTAGGAATGGGGGGGGGTAAATTAAAGAGACCTTGATGAGGGGTCTGAAATAATTCTCATCTAGGACATGGGTTGACCTGACCGGAAGGACCGTTTGGTACTCTCTTATGGAAACAGGGGTCGGGTGCTGGAAACAAGATGGTCAGTGGTTGTCATCCCCGATCTATACCAACGGTTCGGAAATGTCAGTAGATGTAAAGGATGGGGTATCGGTCGTCCTCCCAGAAGATGGGGCGTGGACAGATCTTGAGCCAGCATATCAAACCGTAATGCTGGAAGGGGAGGACGCGTTCCTTTGGATAGAAACGGTGTGGACTGAAGTGAGCTTGACGAGGTTGTCGCCAAGCTTAATGGATTTGAAGTTTCGAGGGACGGTGGAAGCTCGGGGGTGGGTCTACTTGTCGCAAGAGGATGAGAACGCTATGGTCATAAATCTGGTGTTAGGAAATACGCCAGATGAGTTGTTTAGGAAGGCAGAAAGGAAGGTTGTATGGGTTGCATGTCAGCAGGCGGAAATGAAAATGGAAAGGGTAGATGTGCGAGTGAAACTTGGGGATAGAGGAAACATGAGGCGGCCCGTCAGGACCATGCGATGTGTGTTGCCTCCCTTTCTGGTGGATGCGGTCTTCGGAACCCGGAGCAGGCTAGTACAGATATGCCGGTCCATGACGACCCTCAGACTATACCAATGCGCCAGGCATGACTTCTTCCGGTTATCGGTAGAAATGAGACCGTTTGAAGGGAATTGGGCGGAGGAGCTGGTCGAGATGCTAAGCTGTCTCAGCATAGAAAATGTCTTTGTCCCTAGCTCTGTACATTGGGAGATAGTCTACAGGAACGTGGCAGTAGGGAAGACATTCTTGGAAGGAGTGAATGAACTGTTCTATAACGAGGAGGACGACTTCAGTGATGAGGACGAAGGAGGTGAAATAGAGGATTGGGACTTCTAAGGCGGGGGACTTACTTAATGAAATCGAGTGGCCTGACATTGTGCAGGACGGGGAAAGATGACTAGAGAAGAATTGTTGATGGACTGTACTTTTAAGGGATGGGAACCAAGGCGACTCAGAGGGGGAATAAAAATGTCTGTACCAGTAGAAAATGAATGGAGAGGGACCACGTGCGACTGGGTCGGATTCGAAGTTGCCTCGGGACTATCATACGTAGGGGTAGAGCGGATTTGGAACCCAATAAGGGAAGAGGAAGGTTGGGATGAGATAGCGGAAGACAGAGTGGAATCGGTCGGAACGGTTGTTCTCTCCGAAGACGAATGACGCCTATTCTGCACTATGATAGCAACGGGACAGGATCCGATGTGGCTTCTAGGGAATGCGGAGGCGCGAACCCGAAGGGAGGGCGAGAGGTTTGCCAACGAAGGATGGGACGAAGTCAGTAGTAGAGTTGTGATGGGGGGATGAAAGGAACTCAAGCCTCCCGACCTGTGAGCAACGGCTTGGGTGCCTGAGTTCGTGGCCGAGTGGTTTGGGGGTTTTGAGCACATCTTAGAAGTGGGCGACTCCATGAAAGAAGTGCATATGGAGTGTGCCTGGCTGACTGAGGAGTTCTATAAGACCTCGTTGAAACACGGACCCTTCTATGGTGATAAAGCGTGGGAAATCCTTACCATCCTGAGAATAGGTAAGTATGACCGCCTAGAGGTAAATGCGGCGGCTTGGGATGCTGTAGTTAGCCGGGAGGCGGCGGCCGCTCCATCCGACGTAGATGATGTTTTCAAACTGTTTGAAGTACCATGGTTCGATTAAAAGGTCAGGGAATCGGACATCGTAGGGAAATCAAGGTATGGGAGGTACATGTAAACTAAAGGGGGCGTGAACGGTAGATTAGCAGGGCATGCTAGGAGACTGAGAACAAGGAGAGGCGTCAGGCCGCTATGGACGATGATGTGGATCGCGGGGCAGAAAAGAAAAACAATGACTCAAACAAGAAGGGAAACAGTAGGAGGGTGGGCAATTGCTGAAGAACGGGCTGTAATCCTCTCTGTGTGGGCTATGTAGGAAATCACCAAAAACAGCGATGGCAGCAAGACGTGTTCGAATGGTACGCCAGCCCTGGTACCCCGGACCGCCCTATAATAACGGCAGAGGGTGGGAAGTGTCCCTTCCGTCAAATGCCAACTTTCAGGGATTCGACGTAGAATGGTGGGCCGTGACCTTGGGGAGAGACAGTGCCTTCATGCTGGTGGAATGTCGATGGACGGGGATGAGATTCAACCGAGGATCTGGGGATGATTTGTTTTCCAACTTAGAAGTTACCGGGGTCATGTATCTACCCAAGATCGGCTGGCACTCACTGGGGATGGGGATAGCGCAAGGTCACGAGCTGACACTTGTTTTTCGAAGGGCCGCTCAGGCATTGACATGGATAGGCCAATCAATCAGGGGTAAAAGAAACGTGGGCTTACTCACCAGGGTGGAAAACGGGGGCTGGAGGGAGTTCAGGGCACCAACCACCCCGCTGAGATGCCGGGTCCCCCGATTCATGATAGACCTCATCTTCGAGAGCCTCGCAAGGGCACAGGATCCGGCAGACTCGGCAATAATCTGGGTAAATCACTTCCCCCACCAAACCATCGGGATGTTCTATGACGTTGCTATGGAGCATGAGTCATTCTGGGGAAACCGGGCCCATGAATTGCTAGAGGTTATTAATATCTTGATATTTGGGTTGCCACGACTAGCCTGAGCGGAGTACGAGCACATAATTCGGAGGGAAATCGAGATAGGAGAAAGTTATCTGGCGGGGGTGGCTCAACTGTTCGACGAGCCTATCGAACCGGAAGGGCCACGAAGGCGAGAGCGAGACTAGCACCCGGAGGCAAGCCAATAGGGCAAGTCGAGTATATTCCGCTACATACAGGGGCTCACCGGTGGACATAGGGAAGGACCTCCGGACCCGGACGATCAAAAACCACTACGGGATAAAGAGGAAGGATAGACTCGTAATGATTGCCATGACCCTGGAAGTTGAAAAGGGAGTACTGCTCGGGAACTTTTCCTAACGGGAAGCCCAACCAGGACTCCTACGTGCCGGCACGACAAACTGGGCACTCTAAACGAGCTTGTCATTGGAGGGACTAAGTCACGTCCTTTGGCTCAATAGAGCAGCAGGGCCGGTCGCGGCCCCTTCTTAGGGAAGCAATTAGAGGACGGAAACGGGGCTACTTTGGGAATAAGCTAAGCCAAAGAAACCAGAACTATGCAACCTCAATGCCTCGCGCTGCCTGCGTCCTTGGGAATCGATTTGGTCATTTCATGGGATGATCGTGTTAGACGAAATGGACTATGACATAATCCTCGGGAGACCGTGGTGCGCCAATGTAGAAATGATAGGGATGCATCTGCATGACGACACATACATGGTAGACTTAGAGGACCCTAAGGTGCACGAGGAAGCAGGAGGACACCCCCGACGAGAAAAGGATTGAACTGATTTGAAGACGATAACATTTCGAGAGCTGATATCAATATGAAAACTATGAGGGGTAGAGTCTAAAGTAAGTCCCTCCTTCTTTCGGTTGTATGGCATGCAGGTCTGATACGTTATGGGTGTCACAAACAACGGCAAGGGCCGAAGAAGCCAGCGTGGTCAGACATACAACATGGGTGGTCGGAATCCAAAGGATCAAGACGACAGGATAAATGTCGGCCGAAGGTTCAACATCGAGGGGGTCAAAGACGATTCAAGGGGTATTTTGGGGAAAGAGAGCCATAGACAGAAAAAACCCGCAGACTCTCAAGGAATAAGGTCAGTCGTATGGTAATATGAAAGAGTCGCAAATTTCAGGAGGAGGGTTGACGAAGAAAAGGAAGGTGGCGGATACCCTCCGAAGACTTAAGGAAATGGAGAAGATGGTAGCGAATTACAAGACAGGTGTGATTGAGGAAATGATAAGAGACATCGAGACTATGGACGACAAGGAGCTACACAAGGAGGAACGGCAAGGGGAGACACAACGCGAGCACATGATTAGGAAACCCAGTGGATGGGGAATGGGCGGAGATGCGGGGGTACAACAGGGAGTACGACCCTCGGAGGAAGAGACCACAAAGAAAGCAAGGGAGCCAGGACCGGACCATGGAGTAAGTCAACAAACAAGGGGAAAGCCCTTATCAAATGAGGACTATCGTGAACTATGGAACCAGAGGGAGAGACTGACAGTCTGGCTCGACCAAGAAAGGAGTGTCAGAACAGAGGGTCGCCAACAAAACAACGAGGGATACAAGGCCCTAACGACAACTGGATACGGAGTGAAAGGGGGGTCGAAGGGGCTGTACGATCAAGATGAAGGAGCAAACAATCAGGGAGAAAAGATAAGAGATACCCCCCGGGAGGTACAAGCCCAGGTATCTCGAACCGCACTGGTGCCGCAAGAAACCCTCGGTCCAAGACTCGAGCGTCGGACCGATCAAAGGGATCGCACCAAGGAATCATGTCGAGATTGTACTATGGTGGGACACTTCGCTAGGAATTGCTCAAAGCTTAACTATGATATCATAAGAATGCGCTATTCAAGGACCCTCAAGGGACATATCCTAGGTCCTAACGAAGAGAGGATTGGTTGGGCTTCGCATGGGGGAATGAGACACATTATAGTGACATTAAACAACCTGGAATTTTTAGCAATGGAGGAGGAGGAAGTAAGCGAGCTTCACTAGGAACCCACCAGGGGCCGAGTCCGTGTTGAGGATGGGAAAGAATGATGGGAACCACTAAAAGACTTGAAAAAAGGGGAAGCTGAGAGTGACGGCGGATGGGTTGACCCCCTGGACAGAGGAATGGGTTACTCACGAGGGGCGCTCCAAGGAAACAGGGGAGGAGTTTTACCATGGATTGTGATCCTGGGTCCACACATAACCAGAGGAGTAGAGAAAATGTTGATAGGATGGGCCCGTGACTCAACAAGGGTAAGGGAAGAGACGCTCGACCCGAGGATGAGAGTGAAGGAGAGGAAGTAAGCTTAGGAGGAGAAAGCAGAAGGGAAGAGGGAAACACAACAGGACCTCACCAACAAAAAGGCGCCAAGTTGAGCAATGCGACTTGAGGATAAGAGGATGTGAGGGCGAGGATGGTTGAAAACAAGAAAAGGAAAAGTGAAAGGTGTGCAGGGGGGACCCTCACCAAGCTATCGGTATTAGGAATAGGCGGAGGAAGTAGTCAAACTTGAAGGGGAAGAAGGACATGAGTTTGATACCTTTAAGGAAATGCCACAGAGTAGGATGAGGAATTTGGACAATTATACAGTCAGTGGTTTTATCAGGAGGTTGATGAAAAAATATGGGCTATCAAGGTCGGAAGAAAGATGAGGAAGGGCGATTATGAGCTTCCTACGATGATGGAACGCTTGAGATGTCCGCATGACGAAAAGGAATAGATTTTTTTGCTCGTAAGCTAGGATGGGATGCGCCCTCGCAATCAAAAGAGCTTGAAGAGGCCAAGAGGCGAGGGGCCAATGAGAAAAGATGAGTCGTGTCAAGAGAAACTGTGTACATAGGATGTATGCGGAATAAAAGATGGTGAATTGGTTATATAGGTCGCCTTTGGGTATAGTCTGGACTATGTGCAGTCCTTCATGTATTGACAAAGGCGAGACAGGTTGATGATGGCCGTTGTTGCTACCTTTCGCGTGAGCTATCCTTGAGATGTTCGGTACTGGCCGAAAACACTGGGATAAGGACCGGAGAAAACAACCTCGATGGGACTGTGGGGGGCTAGATATTGTTTTATAACTATTGCAAATATCTCGTTCAAATGAAGTATTGGTTCGAGGGTGAATGGGTGTGGTCAGATTATCAGAAATGGTTAGTAAACCTATGGGTAGAGGGGCGTGAAAATAACCCTCCTCTAGGAGCCTAATCCGACTGAGTCAAAGTTATGTTGCAAGGGCTCAAGTTGTGAGAGTGAGCAAGAGAGAAAATGACGAGAGGGTCCGCATCGTGAGCTATGGTTGAACAGCCAGGCGGGCTAG